ATCATCATCATCATCATCATCATCATCATCATCATCATCATCATCATCATCATATCCAACAACAACAACAGCAATAACAACAACAACAGCAGCAGCAGCAACAGCAGTAGCCTTAGCAGCAACAACAACAACAACAGCAGCAGCAGCAACAACAGTCGAGCGATTACTGCTTCAATAGAAAAAAAAACAATTGCAAATACGACCGATAACAGCACTGCTCAATCAAAGAAGAAAAAGATTATAACAGTCAAAGCAAAAACATCAATAACAATGACAATAACAATAATAACAATAATAATAACAATAACAACAACATCAACAAAAACTACAACAAAAACAACTTAAATAATCGTGACAAAAATACAAAAATATAAAAGCTACGACTACTTTAGACCATGAAGACAAGAACAACAACAACAACAGCAACAACAACAACATAATAACAACTTTCACAACAAATACTCAAAAACAGCAGTAACAGTAGCAACAACAACAACAACAACAACAGCAACAACATGAACAGGTCACGAGCGTACATAATTGTCGTCATCGTAGAACGGGTCCCCGTCCTCGTACGGAATATACTGCACGCACAGCACGGCACGATAGTCTGTGTTGCTGGCGAACGGATCAAAGAGCGGGGTCCCGGGGAAGGAACTGGCGCAGTCCTTGGCGAACGAACGCATGGTTGTCCAGCTGGATGTCTCCGAGTTGAAGGTGTCGATGGTCCAGGAGGCAGGTCTCGCGTCTGCGGAATTTGAAGATGAAGTCACGTGGAGAGCGGCGAACTTGACCGTCACCTGAGGGAGGATCAAAGAGGTTATAGATCATTCTAGAGCTCGCAGCAGTGACGTCGCACATACATGACACGAACCGATCGCCCGACTTGAAGCCTCAAAAACAAACGCGTTTTATTTTCAGGCCACAAATAGGGCGATCGGTTGGCGATTGGTTTGTCGATCCCCCAATGAGCACTGGGTATTCAGTGCACACAATAAATAGACCGACTGCCAAAACCGATCGCCCGACGTGCGGCAATGAAATAAGACGCGTTTGCTATTGGAGGACGTCATCGGTTTTGTCGGTTTGGTCAGTCTCTCCCCCCCCCCCCCCTGGAGGACAACCCGGCTAGCCCCAGACCGACAAAATCGACAAAACCGAACCGAGGCGACAATGCCAATGGGCACCCGGCACTGCATAAAGATTACATACAAAGCGCTTCTTGACGTTCTCAATTTGGATTGTTTGGAGACAGGAAGGCTCTCTGCCCATTTAGCTTGGTCCTATCAGAGATGAACGTTATATTCAGAGGTCCTAGCTTTTGAATAACCTTTCAGAGTTGAAAGGGGAGTTAAACTCATTCAAAGTACAACGTTTCCTCGTACACCACTAAACCTCCCCCCCCCCCCCCCCCCAATCCCTATACCCCAGACGCTGGCATTAGCTGTTTGTGGAAAAATTCGTTTTGAAATGGCCATCAGTAATCTATTTACAGAGACACCACCAGCCATCCATAACCAAGTGCTGTTTTAGCCTGTTTTGAAATGGCTGATACAACATGTTTGCAAGTTTCGAATATAACACCCTAAAAAAAACAAGCCATAATAATAATTATGGATTGCATTTATACAGCGCTCTGTTGCATACAAGTATAAGCTTTGAGCGCTTTACATCGACGGGATGATTACTAAGGGTAAAACCTCTTATATTTGATAATAATAAATAGCATTTGTATAGCGCATATCCGGGCTCAACAGCAGGCTCTATGCGCTTTACACTATATTATTACCCCACCAGACCTTAGAACACCCCCGAAACATTCTCAGCCTCTCGGGAAGCATACAGTGCAAGCAGCTGATTAAGCGCTCAAACACTAACAAACTGACAGAGAAAAAAGGAAAAGAAAACGTTCATATAAACAAACAAAACAAAAAAAAACGTTTAAAAAACACAAGGAAGAACACCCTCAGCCATTTAACAAATACATTGTTTAGACGGATTAGGCCAGAAAGAAATCAGAAGAACAAGGGGGATCAGGAACGGGGGAACATTGGGACTCGATTAACATCGATGAAATGACGACGAAAAATACTCGAAAAACACGAGAAACATTATTGTTTAAGCAACATTAACGTGAAGAAAACGCTGCATGCAACCACCGATACCCCTCACCCTCACCCTCACCCTCACCCACATTCTCACCCTCACCCTCATTCTTACCCTCACCCACATTCTCACCCTCACCCTCACCCACATTCTCACCCTCACCCTCACCCTCACCCTCACCATCATTCTCATTCTCACCCTCACCCTCACCCTCAACCTCACCCTCACAATCACACTCATTCTTACCCTCACCCTCACCCTCATTCTTACCCTCACCCTTACAACCACACTCATTCTCACCCTCACCCTCATTCTCACACTCACCCTCATTCTCACCCTCACGCTCATTTTCACCCTCACCCTCACCCTCACCCTCACTCTCACCCTCACCCTCGCCCTCACCCTCACCCTCACCCTCACCTTCACCCTCACCATCACACTCATTCTCATTCTCACCCTCACCCTCACCCTCACCATCACCCTCACCATCACCCTCATTCTCACCCTCACCCTCACCCTCACCCTCACCCTCACCCTCACCCTCACCCTCCCCCTCACCCTCACGCTCCTTCTCACCCTCACCTCACAATCACACTCATTCTCACCCTCACCCTCACCCTCACCCTCACCCTCACCCTTACAATCACACTCATTCTCACCCTCACCCTCATTCTTACCCTCACCCACATTCTCACCCTCACCCTCACCCACATTCTCACCCTCACCCTCACCATCACCCTCATTCTCATCTTCATTCTCACCCTCAACCTCAACCTCCCCCTCACCCTCATTCTTACCCTCGCCCTCACCCTCACCATCACCTTCATTCTCACCCTCACCCTCACAATCACACTCAATCTCACCTTCACCCTCACCATCACCCTCATTCTAAGAGAGAAACAGACAGACAGATACACACACACACATACACACACTCACTCACACACACACACACACA